ATATGGACATCGATGAGGACGGTGAACCTGAGAGTGTTATTCTGCTAGGTGACACGTCAGATACTGACGTAGAGGGTGATTTCGACGCTGACACAAGCTCACCATCCCCGGGTTCGCAGGTTACGATACCACTTCGTGTTGACCCTGTTAGCAGTGGTAAGATTTGTTTTTTAAAGATTTAATTTAGCAATTATTTTTTTTGTTATCAATGGTATTGACGGTGGCATTATAATGCATCCGTAGGTTCTGAGGTCGAGCCATTTTGGAATGAAAGCTCACATTATTCCTTCATTAATTGGGCCCACCCTAATGATGAGACAGAGATATTGTATGGTGACGATGATGATCACGGTGGCTGGCAATTAGGGGATCCTTTATATTTGTATCAGGAGTTTCGTAGCAAATCTGAAATGCAACATGCAGTCAAATTATATTGTATGAAGGCTCACCGTACTGCCGTTGTGGCAAAAAGTGATGACCATAGATTTGTGATGAAGTGTCGACACCATAATGATGGATGTCCCTGGTATGTGAGGGCATTGTTGCCGAAGAATGGAAATACTTGGGTGGTCAGTAAGTGGGTTAAAGAACACACCTGCCTAAACCAAGGTTTTACCCGGGATCATAGACAGTTGGATTCTGATGTGATATGTGCAACCATTATTAGTATGTATTATTCGATATATCTAACTTCCTAAGGTATGTTTATGTTAATCAGTTTGTATTCTGACTGTTGCTCACATTATTTTTTTATATAGGTATGTTAAAAGAAGATCCATCATTGAAGCCAGTTCTTATTCAAGAGAGGGTACAACGTTTGTATGAATACAACATATCTTACAGGAAAGCTTGGAAGGCTAAAATGAAAGCCATTGTCAAGTTATTTGGCGACTGGGATAAATCGTATGCATTCTTGCCTGGTTGGCTGACATACATGAGGCAGGTTAATGTTGGTTCTGTGTTCAAGATTGATACGGACCAATGTGTTGATGAACGTCAAGTGTATACGGATAAGGCTGTCTTTCACCGAGTATTTTGGACCTTCACCAGTGCATTGAGGCCTTCAAATATTGTAAACCCATAATCCAAATTGATGGCACGCATTTGTACGGTAAATACAAAGGAACTCTTTTGATTGCAACGTCACAAGATGGAGATGGTTAAATTCTCCCTATTGCATTTGCTATTGTTCCTCCGGGTGAGAGATTGGATGATTGGTCGTGGTTTCTTAGCCTCATGCGTTTTCACGTCACGCATAAGCATGGCATTTGTCTAATATCCGATCGTCATCCCAGCATCATCAGGGCTGTAAGAGATCATGCCGGTTGGCAGCCACCATTTGCGTATCACGTGTTTTGTCTACGCCACATCGGAAGCAACTTTAACACTAAGTTTAGAGATGTGGAATTGAAGAAAACCCTGATGAAGCTAGGTACAATCTTCTTTTTAATATGTACAAATTGTATATAATTCATCCTTTTGTATCTAACGCATCCTTTTGTATTCCAGGGTACTTGAGTTCAAAGATTCATTTTGATATCAGATTCCAGGAATTTATCGACAGTAACCCTCAAGTAACTTCATGGATAGATCAGATTCCCAAAGAAAAATGGTGCAGTATACGGGACTCCACAGAAAGCAACCCCACCGTATAGTGCAAGTGTTCCCCACGGACTCTTCTCTGCTCCTGCACGGCATCCTCACGTACATATCCTGGAAGTACTACACCACTATCAACGTCATACGCCACAGTCTGAGAAGAGTCAAAATCATAGCCAAGTATCTCCAACCATGCAGGTGCCGTCATGATGATCTCTATTCCACAGACCCTCGACTTCAGCTCGCCCTGTACGTAGCTGAGGTTATGGTAGAAGGCCCGCACTATAAGCTCTGAATACGGACATAGGGTCTCGGCCAACACCCTCAGATGAGCCGCCTCCAACACCCCCACAATTTCAAATCCCTCCTTATCAAAAAAGGCTGTATCCAAAGATTTTGGAGCACATAACGGCCGGTTCAAATGGTCACGTACGAATGAAGCGTGGACGGCAGGGTCGTCCTCAAACAGATACCCATACGAGAGGTCAACAGTATCAGGCTCTTCGTCTTATGGCCTTGACGAAGAAGGCCGCTCTTGCCTATGCTTGGTGCGTCTCTCAAGTGACTCATTGCCCTCATCGCTTGGTCTTCTGCGGCCCGTCATTTGTTTAGGGTACCTATAATGAAACATGTCAGCATTTAATTATATGAAACATGTCATGATGGTAATGAAAACTTGCAACATAAGATCTGTAAACCAAAAGCAAACTTTTGCCACATACAAATTTTTCAAACAAAAAAATTCACACAATGCAAAAAAATAAACCTTAGTAGATTAGGGTTACAAAACCTACAACAAACGCTTTGATTAGAGTTCACAAATTCGGACAGCAAACAAATAAAAAAAATTCCAAAACCTAAAACACAATGCAAGTTAAGAAACCTTACCTATCCTTGAGATTTCACGATTTGGACCGTATTTTGGTGCAATCCACACGCCTGAGGGAAGGGTTTGGGAGCTGCTCCTGCGGATTTGGGGTTTGGGCCGCCTCCTTAGTCGATTAGGTCATCCTACTCCCCCTCTGCCGAATGGGGGGGTTTTTAAAAAACAAATCCGTCGATATTTAGTCGACTAAATATCGTTACTTAGTCGACTAAATATTCCAAAAATGTAGTCGATTAAGATGATTTTTTAGTCGACTAAATTTGTTGTAGTCCACTTTCTGCATTTTGACCATTTGCTCGACTAAAAAAGCAATGTAGTCGACTAAAAGGGGGCAAGTTGGTGGATAGTTCTGGATCAGGGGCAAATTTGTTATTAATTAATTAATGAGGGGCAAAAGGGTCAAAAAGCCTTACGTTGCATTACATTTTGAGTTCCAACTATTAGATTCGTTGGATTACGATTACTATTTTATTGAATTTAATATAAATATTTGAAATATCTTATGTTTCTTTGCAACACTGATGGGTATTATAAGTTTAACTTTTTTTTTTGTTAAATTATTGAACATTAAATATAATATACACTAAATAAATTAAAAATATTATATACTATCTAAACGTGTTCTAACGTGTCGAAATTTAACATTTTTTAGAATTAACGTGTCGGAGTGTCGTGTCGTGTCGTATTCCGTGTCCCGTGTCGGTGCAACATAGTCCCTATCGACCCTAGTCACAAGATGCTTCTTGACTTCTTGTAGGTTTTTAATCCATCCACAGCAGGTAGAGTTTGCCCCCACATAGAACTCATTTTATCAACTGATTCACACTTCGTGATTAATCAATAACATATATAACACCTTACCAATTCCTCAATTTCAAAACAAGTAGGCAGGCATTATGTAGTAGCAATTTTGTTTTTTTGTTTTTTGTTTTATTTAAAAAAACCATTTTTTTGTCAATGTTATTTTTAAACTTGCTTCAACTAATCAATGACGAATATTAAATGCACGAAAACTATATATTCATCCGTGTATGCGATCGCATTCCGTTGGGCAATCTGTGTTATGACGTTTGCCCATTTGATGAACATAGCTTGAATATGAAAGCAATATTTATGCTTTGTTTGTTTGGAGACATTATTCATAGGGAATATAGTTTTTCATATGTATCATTGTCTCATGCACACACACAAAAGTGGGTGAAACCCATAAAAAAGAGAAGAGAGAAAAAAAAAATCAAGTAAATCTCACATACTTTTTTATGCTATGTAATATGAGAAATTAAAATTATATTCCCTTATTTATATAATGGACAAGATCATGGCCCTTTAAAAAAATTAACGCACGTGATCATGGGCTGCCTTTGAAATGTTCATGGGGCTTTGGATATACGACTTGCAGATCGGAGAGAATTAGGGGTTGCTTTGTAGTTTAGGCAAAGATGTTTCTAAATGTGAGCATGCACAATTTTTCATTAAGATGAAGGAAGTTATTTAAGATGTTTCTAAATATGAGCTGATGAGCATGCGCAATTTTTCATCAAGATCTTTTCTTTTCTTTCTTGTCATTTGAGTTCATCTAGTTATTAATGTTGATGAATGAAGTTATTAAGTTACTGGCCAAAACAAAAGATATTAAAATGAAGGAAATGTGTCAAATCAAAATATTATTTTGGGAAGCCAGGAGGAAGCAGAATTGAGAGGAAGATTTGGCAGAACATCACATGCAAGTATGCAACTGATAACGAAAAGTCCCCTTCTCGCCAGGATTAAATTTTGTAAAGGAGAGGCATAACTCTGATAATATTTTTACAGCACATGAGATTTTTCATTTCATGAGATCAAAGAGAGGTCTTAAAGGTTGGATGACAATAAAAATAGATAGTGAGAAAGCTTATGATAGATTAAATTGGGAGTTTCTGCATGATACTCTGGTAGATATAGGTATTCCCTAACCTCTTATCTGTTTAATCACGAGCAGTATGTATATTTGTTAGTGTCTTAATTCTTCTTTGTTTTCCAATAAATAAATAAATATAAAAGCATTCTTGTATTTTCACCTAATAATTTAAATTTTTGGAAGAGTTAATTCATAATATAATATTAGAGCATGATCTAGAGTTAGATCAATGCCGCTCTGTTATTCTAATAAAAAACATTAAACTTGTATATTGTACATGCATCAACACAAAGAATTTTTATGTGAGAGGAGAATTTTTATTTCTAACACAAAATTATTCATGTATATTCACTTAACAAGTTACTTAAATCTTTGGGAGAGTTGATTCATGACAGATGCAGGTACCACTGATATCATCAAGCACCAGTGATATCTTACCAACTTTTATATTCCATCAATCAATTTAAACAAAACAAATGATGTTAAACAATATAAGACGACTATTATTCATTTTTTTAATATAAGACAATTAGAACAAAAATGAGAACATGAGAACAATCAAGAAGGAAAAACCTGTTTGGGACTACCATTTTTTCCTAAGTAAAATCTAACACAGTATTATCCTAGAGAATTTAGAGTATTAGTCTCCTGTGTGGCTCTCTTCCTCATTTCTATGACCTTCTTGTGAGAGTTTGAGTGTAATGATGCTACAAAAGTGGGGCTAGCAGCAGGCCGATATTCAGGAAAGAGCCGGCCGGTCCTGTATCGAACCCCACAAGCATTACATAGGGTCTTAGGACCCATAGGTCCCTCCCTCCATTGTGGTGTCTTTGTAACCTCACAATGCATGCATTTTTTGGGGGTAAATGGCTCCTGTGATGAAGATCTCTTCATCTCAATATTATAAGAGAGCATGGAGAGATCCTTTTCCCTTTGCTTCTTTGTGACTCTGCTTAATAATTTCCGAGCATGATGTGTTTCTAAATCTGATTCATAGACAGCTCCCCTTTGATCTTTTTTAACAGCTGGTGAAGCAGGGAAGAAAGGAATTGAGAATAGCAGGCTGAAGCTTGAGAGACGCTGACGTCTGCCTCGAGGACGCTTTACTGGGATGACAGGTAACTCAAAGTTGGAATTCTCAACCGAGGAAGAACTACTGTTTTCAAAAACAGAAACTGGGCTGTTGGTTAGGAGTTTGCGCAAATCTTTTCCTCTCGAGACATTCTGAATGGGAATAGTTTTGCCATATGTAGGTCCGGTAGTCTTTGCTAGCTGTTTATTGGGGAAACACACATCAAAGTTGGAATTCTCAACCCAGGAAGAACTACTGCTTTCAAAAACAGAAACTGGGCTGTTGGTCAGGAGTTTGCGCAAATCTTTTCCTCTCGAGACATTCTGGATGGGAATAGTTTTGCCATATGTAGGTCCGGTAGTCTTTGCTAGCTGTTTATTGGGGAAACACACATCAAACCCACAAAACAATATATTACAATTAGATGCAACAATGATGGATATGCTTATGTATCTTGGGGTGAAAACAATAATAAAGAGAAATTTTCAATTGCACATAATGTTTCAAGCAATCGCTCCAACATTTACATATATACTCTACACAGCTAATCACATGAAAGGAATAATGCTACTAATCTAAAACATGTATACTTTTCAGTTATCCGATGCCATAAAGTCAAACATATCAGGAAACTAAAGCCAGTCAGTAAAACTACTTGTGTCTTTCTGTAATTTGAGTTTGTGGTTCTGCATAGACTTGCCTATTAAGCATGTGTGTCTACACAAATTGTGCTATGCAGTTTAATCTATCTACTTAATCCTTGCCATGAGACAGTTTCTATTTAGTCTAGTTGTAACACCCAGTTTATTGATGCAAGAAGTTCCCTGAATTTAAATTCATATAAACGGCAAAGGCTTTGGCAATGAGGAGGGATATTCACGTTCAAGCACAGAAGCACACACATGATACATCTATCCATCTACTCCTTAAGGATTGAAGGAAGCAAATTTTACATCTTTTCACGCTTGCATACCGTATATTCATCATTCAAAATAACTAAAACATTTCCAACTTCCATTTTCCAAGCATTGTTACCAGAACTTTCTCACTTTCTAAAGGCAATACCACTAAAAGTTAAGGCATGAGTAGAAGGTAATTTCGAGACAAAGCTTTTCATGGTGTCAACTATTATATCTTAAAACTAATAACTGCAAATTAATCATATAAGAAAAGTTCATGTTTGAACAGCAAGAAACCAATAAACATTTTAAGCATACGTTTAACTCAATAATATTAAGACAAGGACAACACAAAAACAGAAATAATAATAATAGTAACAAAAACAAATTGAATTTTAGAAGAAAAAAAATACAATGATTGATAAAATTACAATTAGGTAACCAATATTAACCCAATGAATCGTGTTACACAACCAACTTTTTTATTCCTAAATTTTTCTCTCTTTTTTTTTGTAATACTTTTCTCTTTAGAAGTCTACACGGATGCTGATTATGCTGGATCTGTGACGGACCGTCGTTCTACCACTGGTTATTGTATGTTTCTTTGTGGTAACTTGGTGACATGGAGAAGTAAGAAACAAAATGTGGTTGCCAGATCAAGTGCAGAGGCTGAATTTCGAGCCATGGCTCAAGGCATTTGTGAGTTACTATGGCTGAAAATTATACTTGATGATCTCAAAATAAAATGTGAGGGACCAATGAAGCTGCTATGTGATAATAAGTCAGCTATTTGTATAGCTCATAATCCGGTTCAACATGATCGGACTAAACATATTGAGGTCGACCGCCATTTCATCAAAGAGAAACTTGATAGCGAGTTGATTACCACACCCTACATTCCCACCGGGCGTCAATTAGCTGATGTATTGACAAAGGGACTTCCTTCAGATAGATTTCAAGAGCTTACTAGCAAGCTAGGAATGAGAAATATCTATTCCTCAGCTTGAGGGGGAGTGTTGTAAATATTAATATTATTTATTTATTTATTATTTGTTGTATTGGGCTTAGCCCATTAGGTCAAGTATTCTAGGTCTTGTATTCTCTACAAATAGAGAACCTTTGTACAAAGTATTTACACAATTCTATAATATATCAGAATACCTTTTTCAAGTCTCTTTTGTTTTTAAACCTTCCAATACCATACAAACAACATACACCAAGAGGAAATTTTGCAACCTGAATGAGAGAGGAAAGAGGTTACCACCATTTCCCTACCTTCCTCATCCCATTCTTATTGAACCCTATTAATGATTCCATTTAGGCGTTTTGGTGCATAATGGCTGAGCACTATAGACAACAAAATAATTGCAGCATCTCCAGAAAATTTTTGGTCAGTTGCAGGAGGAATAAAGAAACTTTGTTTTTTGTTTTTTTCAAAATAGTGTTATAAATATATTTTATTATGATTTCCTGTTACTGCCAAGAATAAGGAAAAGCTATCAGCAGGGCCACCACTCACCCATTTGTTAATTAAGTGGGTGTTCCCCCTTCCTTGATAAGAGTTTGAAACCAAAATGCACAAAAACAAATATATATGCAGCACACTTCAAGGGAAATCAAAGTACCACTACAAAGTTAGCTTACTGCTTCTTGTACTCGGTACCAGAGGAAACATCTAACTAACAAGGATGGAAACAACTCATTAGCAGACATTTAAGTATGTCATGCAATTACAATTTCCCAATATCCTGCCTATCATCAAGTAAATGCAAGAAAACTGAATCTCTAGCATTTGAATTTCCCTCACTTTTTTTTTCTAAGCTAGGCCAAAGTAATTCAACAAACCTTTTCTCCTACCCTCAAAGAAGTTTGATAACACATCTATCCCTGACACAGTTAGAGGACAATTCAACAAAAGAGCAAAACATTAAGATGATCTCCCATCACACTCATCATTACTGGCCGATCTTTTAGGCTTGAATTACCAATATTTCTATTTTCAATCTGACAAAGTTCCAGAACTACATAATTGAAGTAATTCACAATTCCTGCTAAAATTCCAACTAATAAAATTTCATAGTCGTCTAACTAACTATATTAACTTTACCAATTAAAGGTCTATGATGAAAGTTACATTCATTCAAAAGTATAGATCCTACCAAATGAAATAGTCGTTGCTAGGGGTAACTCAAAAGTTTAGATTAAGGAAAAGCATGCCCCCCTTCAAGACCAGGGAATACCACCAACCTCAATGATAATCGACCAGGTATGCTTGTTTTGTTAGTATCTGAACTTGTAATGCAGGGACTCAAATCAACAAAATATGTGCTTCAACATTGATATATTCATGTCGTTTCAGTTTCAAATGATTAAATCATGTACATAATTAAATTTTCAAATATAATTGAACTGAATTGAAGTGAAATTTTGAGTTTCTCTCTACATAAGGCAAGGGGCAACATGGCAGGAAAAAAAAGTGAAGCAGACAAAGACATGCATAGAGCAGGAAACTCACCGGTGCAGAGAAACTCCTCTCAAGTTTTGGATTCTCATTTTTCTGAGTTTTATCACAAAGCCCAGATGATGATACTGGAAAAGCACCAAGAGATGGCTCTTCAAGTTGCTTAAATTGAGCATCCCAATCTTCTTCAGCATCATCAGTTTCCACATCTTCAAGTGTGAAATCCAAAAGCTTGATGACTTCATCAAAATTCTCATCCGATAAACCATTAAAATTCTTGTCGAAAAACCAACCGTCCTTCATAATAGCAATATCCTGAAAAAAGAAACAAGACATAACCATCTATTATTGGTTGAGAATAAACACCCACAACACATGCTAACTTACATTAAGAAGGAAAGGGGAAAAAAATTCACAGAAAATTAAAGAAAGGCTATCTTGTCTGACATTGGCTCATTGTGCAATTACCTAGTCATAATGTACATTGAAGAATAAGTACATTTACAAAGCAATAAAATCCAGCTACACTTGTTAAACCTATTGCACGTCAACGATTCTGATAACCATGCTCAAAATTTAAAAAAAAAATCCAGAAGTATAACATTGTGCATTATTAACATTATTAAATTAAAAAAAAAATGAAATGCATGCATAAGAAAATGAAATGAAGTAGAAAATAAAGGAAGTGCGGTGCAGAATGAGAGTGTCGGAAAGACAAACAAAGATTTGACATTTGAAGACACTCACAGCAGTCACATAGTGAAACTGCCGGAACTGAACCTAACCAGATTCTTTTTAATCTCTCTGTCCGAATTTTGTGATTTTTTTATTTTATTTTTATTTTTGTTAGGGTGGTGGCGCTACCATGCGGAAGCCCTTATCCTGCGCTCTCTGTGCCTCTGCGTTGTCTTAACTGTTACATAATTATAATGTTTGCTTCTATCTTTTTCCTATTCCCATCTGATATGTCTCTATTCCATTTTCATGCCTTTTAAACTTTTTTAGTATTTTACAAGTTTTATTTATTTTTAAAAAATTACAACTACTTTTTAACTACACAACAATCGTATTATCTTATTTCTTGTCGCTGAATATATGAAAAAATTTCAGGGTAAGCCTATGAAAAATATAAGTTTAATTATAATTATGTGATATAATGACCATGAGTATGTAAATATAAAATAACGTATCTGTTTTCAGGTTGAAAGGTCTCTTTCCCAAGGAGAATATTAAAAATAGAATATAAAATTATTTATGTGCGTTTACCTAGAAGTTTAAATTTTTGGATTTAGGATTTGATCTTTGCCACCTTAATCTTTAAATAAATTTTTTAATATTCATGTTTCAATCCCTAACAAGTTGTTTGGTTGGGAACTTTTAAGCAGATATTTATGTTTCTCAAGTATGGCTTTTAGAAACATCATGTTTGTTTCAACGTATTTTCACCAAAAATTCATCTATCCAGTTTGTATGAATTTATGAGAAACATAGATATCCGCACTGTTTAGAAACCCAATTTGAAGGTGAGATTTTTCGGAAAACCGATTATCTGACTTTTAATGCATGTTGATTTCATAAAGTTACCTAATTTTCCCAGTAAAGTTTTTTCCCACCAAACAACTTCTTTTTACATTTTTCTACCTATCTCACTTTATCTATATTTCCAATCATTTCTCTATCTATTACATTTTCCTACTATTCTAAAAAAATTTCCTCAACCAAACTCCCCCTAAAAAGTGATACCTCCTAATTCCTAGGTATCTACCAAAAAGAAAAAAGAAAAAAAAAAGGGGGGAGTTTTGTGTAATGCGACTATGCATTTTTCATGCTTCAATATCTTTGGGCGAGGATGGGTTCATGATATGATATAATTTTTTTTTTTTTCCCATCCAATAGTTAGAGATGGGTATGGTTCAAACTAAACTTTTTTTCAGAAAAAAAGTTAAATCAATTGATTTTACAATTAAATTGTTTTAATTTATATAAATTAATTTTATTTATCCCAAATCGATTCATTAACAGTTCAGAAAGTATACAAATTGGTTCAGGGTTTAAAAGATGCTAAACTTAAGAGATGAGTTGTTTTTGTTGTTGTTACGATTAGTTCTGCAGCTCAAAATCTTAATAGGAGGAAACTTCTTCACCCTTATTTTATCAGTCCATGGATTTTGTTGTTCCCTCTCAATTGCCTAATAAGGATAAACCCATCATATTTGTGACGTGTAAATTAAGGGAAAATTGACGGGAAAATTGTAGGGTACGTCTTGTAAAAGTAGGCCTGTGACTAGTTATTTAAACGTATTTTTTCAAGGCATGAACAACTTGTTTATACTTCTGATATCACTAAATATGTATGTATCGTGTTCTAATTTAAATTAGAAAAACAATTCACATGATAAAAAAATAGAAAAGAAATTATTTAAGGCATAAATAAATAGCTGGATATGCATAAATTAATAATTAATAATTGCTTAATGTATATACCTCAATCGTTGGAAGCTGCTGCTTCGTGTCTCTTTGACGATGGTGCTCCACTAGAGATCTCTAATTGTAAGGTGTTGTTTCAATAATCAAATGGGGTATACTTCTGTAAACTTTGACAAGAGAATTAGATAAAAGTAGAATAAGATATGATATTTGTTTTGTTCTCGAGACAGAGATGTCTAGTCAGAGACGTATATACGAAGGAAATACTGAGTTATATGTATACAATGACAATTTAATCACAGGAGAGAGTATCATACTTGCAGGTTTCGTCTCTTATTTATAGAGTTTACCTACGGTAGTAAGATTCTGGACCTCCATTGGGCTATATTTTGGGCCCGTTGCTAGATCTATTGCTGTCATCTTAGGATTGGTATTGACCAAGGATTCTTTCCTTTATTTGCATTACTTCCTCTTGCTGTTACGATATCTTGACCTTTTTAATAACAGGATTGATAAGCTCACGTCATATCCTGTTTTGATGTGTTTGAGACGAATATAATGTCATGATAAGATTGTAGAATCGCAATACATATCGTGTATCGTTTGACCAATTTTTCGTACTGTGTATCGTGAATCGTAAGATTCAAAAATATAATAATAAAATAATTTTAAAATATATAACTTTTTTATGACTTCTATCGAATTGTATCGCAAGTTACATCCTTCTATTTTATGACCTTTTTCTTTGGAGCCATTTGAATTATTTTTTCCTAAAAGAAAGAAAAAATAAATAAATTTAAAATAAAAATAAAGATGAACTAATGAGTATAAGAAAAAAAAATTAAACTTGAAATCGAAGCCTAAACTCTTAAGTTTGGACACGTTTCCATTGCAAAACTAGATTTAGAATATTTATTTAATTATTTTCTTTATTAATACAAATTTTTCATATTGATTTTTGAGTTTAAATCATAAATGAAATATTTATTTTCTTTTCCTTATTAATAATATTTTTTTACAATTTTTTAAATTTAAATAAAAAATCAAATCTTTATTTCAGTTTTTTATATTACAAATTATCAATTTTGATTTGATTTTCGCATCGTATGATACACGTATCTTATCGTATCATACGATAAAGTATTGTATCGTTCGATACAAATCCCTTTATGATACATCCCACGATACGTATCGCTAGGCTTGTGGTTCGTATCGTGTATTGTTCGATACTGATAACTATGCGTCATGATATGATATAAATATACAAAAATATCATTTTTAACATAATTTCATATGTTTTTTAAAAGGGTAAAGATTTTCTCCCGTCAATGGATATAAGTTATCATCGGTGAGCCCAAAACGAATTTGTTTTGGGACGAAAATCAAGATATTTTTATAATTTTAATATATTGCAGGGTTATATTAGTCTTTATTATTATAATTTTTTAATCTTATAACCTCAAAACGATGTCGTTTTGAGCTCACTGGAGATAAATTTATCTCCAGAGTAACTGGAGAAATACTTTTCCCTTTTTTAAATTGTTTTTAAACTATTTTTTATTTTTTTATGCATTAGTTCTTATTTTAAATAATTCAATAATTTGAAAAGTCATAATTTTAAATTAAGTATATTAAAATACAAAAACAACTTACAAAATTTTAAAAATAAATAAATATACCATCACCAAATAAATTTTATTAGGGTTTTATTAATCTCATGTTAAAGGAGATAAGTTATCTCATGTTATAGAGATAAACTTGTGGTTCCACCACCTAAAAAAAAAGAAAAAAAAAGGTCGCACAGTTATCGAATGATGTGTAGGAGAGAAATTTATCACATGTAACATGAGAGTAATTTTTCCCATTTTAATAATGTGGGACAGATGGTATTAAGGCAAATAATGGGCCTAATGTAATGATTCGAAACAATAATTATTTAAATGATTCTGTCTCTCAGATTTGATTTAACAATTCATTAAAAGGGAATAATTGAAAGTCAATGGATATAAGTTATCTTTGGTGAACCCAAAATGAGGTCGTTTTGGACGAAAATTAAGGTGTTTTTGTAATCTATCTATATATATATAAAGGAGAGTTCACTGCTGGAAAGTTTTGCCAAGTGTCACTCCCTGGTTAATTCTACAATTTGGTTATATACAAACTTTATTTATTGGGTAAATTGGAAAAAAAAACTCTTTTAAAAATTGAATTTTAATTTTTAAATCGAATAATAGTTGCAGACAAGGCAATGAATGTCCCACTGCCCATCACATTGGTATCCAAAAAAAAAATCAGCTGTTTTAATTGCTTTTTATGTTGGAATTGGTCATCTCATCTGAAATTCGAAATTTTAAATGTTTTATCAATTAAATTTCAAAATTATGTATTTATTTTGCACAATCTGAAATTCGAAATTTTAAATTCAATAAAGAGAAAACTCTTTTCACGGACATGCATTCACGATCTCTATTCATGGAGATCAATAGAAACAAAAACAAATTTCACAATTGTTGAAGACCTGATCGTCATTCAATTCATAATTTCGTTATGGTTATTTTTAAAAAAATATATATACAATAATGATATAACAAAGACATTATCTTTGTTATATATTTGATTCAAATATCATAACAATCAAGAATCAAGAGAGCTGACAGACAAAATAAATTAAATCCCAAAACCAAAACTATCATATCAGATAAACTATCATATCTGAAATTCGAAATTTTAAATTTAATAAAAAGAAAACTCTATCAGATAAACTATCATAACAATATTCGTTTTAAAAATTGAATTTTTGAAATTTTTTAATGTTTTATCAATTAAATTTCGAAATTATGTATTTATTTTGCACAATCTGAAATTCAAAATTTTAAATTCAATAAAAAGAAAACTCTTTTCACGGACATGCATTCACAATCTCTATTCATGGAGATCAATAGAAACAAAAACAAATTTCACAATTGTTGAAGACCTGATCGTCATTCAATTCACAATTTCGTTATGGTTATTTTAAAAAAAATATAAACACAATAATGATATAACAAAGACATTATCTTTGGTATATAATGATTCAAATATCATAACAATCAAGAATCAAGAGAGCTGACAGACAAAATAAATTAGATAATCAGGTGTTTTAATTGCTTTTTATGTTGGAATTAGTCGTCTGATCTGAAATTCGAAATTTGAAATGGTTTAAAATTTTGAATTTACATATGGATGGTGGAAAAAGAATTTCTTTTAAAAATCAAATTTTAAATTTGTAATTGAATAATTAAATGACCGTTTGTGGTGGCAGACATAAAAGAATAATTAATTAATAAATATGGGTTTGAAATTCGAAATTTTAATTGGATAATCAAGTGTTTTAATTGCTTTTTATGTTGGAATTGGTCGTCTGATCTGAAATTCGAAATTTGAAATGGTTTAAAATTTTGAATTTAAATATGGATGGTGGGAAAAGAAATTCTTTTAAAAATCGAATTTTAATCTTTAAATCGAATAATTAAATGACCATTTGTGGTGGCAGACAAGACATTGAATGTCCCACTGCCCATCACATTGGTATCCAAAAAGAAATCAACTGATTTAATTGCTTTTTATGTTGGAATGCGTCATCTGATCTAAAATTCGAAATTTGAAATGGTTTAAAATTTTGAATTTGAATATGGATGGTGGGAAAAAAATTTCTTTTAAAAATCTAATTTTAATTTTTTAAATCGAATAATTAAATGACCATTTTAAATCGAATAGTGCATATTCGTGTATAAATAAGTATTTGGAAGTGTCTCAATTTCGTTCTTTTCTTTGTCCTCAAAGACTTTGAGCCAATATTACCTGATATACGTTTGGTTATGTATTCCAAGTATGATTTTATTAAGGATCTTAATCCTTCTAAGGAGGAGTGGAGGATTAAGGCTAGAGTTGTTAGAACATGGAAGGTTCCTAATTTTCAGCAAAAACATTTTGACGACAACGTAGAGATGATTCTGTTAGATGAAAAGGTATTTGTTTTTGTTTTGTTTTTGATATTACTGTTGGTTTGCGGTCCATGTTTTTAAAATGTACTAATCTATGCATGTGTTTTGTAGGGTGGAAGGGTCCACGCTGCTATCAAGGGTTCTTTAAATATCCATAACAAAATTCACGAAGGAGAAGTTTATTTCATAAAATTTTTTGGAGTTGGTTTGAATAGTGGGAGTTTCAGGCCAACTAAGCATGATTATCGTTTGTCCTTCAACTTGAGGACTGATGTAAAATCCACTATTGATTCTGCTATTCCCACCAATGGATTTGATTTTGACGTTATAGAGAAAGAGTCTTCTGATTCCCCTTATTTAGTAGGTTTGTAGATTTTGAACTATCCACTAAGTCATGCTTTTGTTGTTTGTGTGACAATATCATCTGTCTAACCATCCTTAATGTGTAGATGTCATCGGTTTAGTTTCTGGAATAGGGGAAGTTCGTGAGCATATTATCTCCGGTAGGAAGACAAAAATGGTTGTCGTGGAGCTTGATAACCTCAGGTATCTATTGGTTATTTGTTATGTGTTATGTTCATTTGATGTAAAATTCTATTTTGTGATTTGTTGCAAAAATTGTGCAAGTAGGGGTCATAAGCTCGAGTGCACTCTCTGGGAGGACTACGTGGACCAGGTGCAACAAATTTTGGGGAGTAATCAATCTCCTCCAAACGTGATAATAGTTCAGCTTGCTAGAATAAAAGGTTTCAGGGGTGAGTTCACATAAATATTTGATTATGATTTCATAATGGAATGTTTTAGTTTATTTCCCTCCTTATGGTTTTTTTTTGCTATTGGCTATTATATTGCTAATCAAAAACTTATTTCAATGACATTCTTGGCGGAGAGATACCAAGGAAAATGGTTACAAATAGCAAGCAATTGCTATTAAGGATCAACAATAATTTAATCTTCATTTTAAAAGCGTATTAGCTAAGTAGTAAAGAACATGAAAGTGTTTACCAAAAAAAAAAAAAAAACATGAAAGTAGAGGAACTCAATCCTTTGCTCTAAAACTCCACTATGATCATATTATTTTTATGTGTAAAGTTTTGGTGATCATATTATTTGCATTTGTGTACAATACAAACAGTATACGTGGCTTCAAGTCTAGAGGCTGTTGGGTGAAAGGAAGTAATAAGAAGAACCAACAATAATTTAATCTTTATTTTAATAGCATATTAGCTAATTAGTAAAAGAACATAAAAGTGATTACCAAAAAAAAAAGAAAGAACATAAAAGTAGAAGTATTCAATCCTTTGCTCTGAAACTCTATTATGATCATATTATTTGTATGTGTGAAGGTTCAGGTGATCATATAATTTGTGTTTACTTATAATGTAAAAGAGTGTACGTGCCTTTAAGCCCTGAGAAGCAAACCCCCCTGCTCTCTATCTATAAAAAAATAAGCCAGAACCTCCTTGTTTGTATTCTTTCCTATAACTGCATAGTTAGTTTTTCCCGTTTTCAAATAAGTTTAAAGACTCGAGGAAAATATTAGAAATATAATTAAAATTATTTAGGTGCTTTCGGTTGATAATTTAAATTTTTGGAAGAATTGATTCATGATATAATATTAAAATTTTTATAATCTAGAGTTTGATTTTTATCAATATGAATATGACACGAATTTAAAAATAGATCAATCATAGTAGTCAATAACGTCGCTTTAGCACTTTGCACGTAGCGGTACCTTATAGCGGTGTGTTGATGATAATATAAAATTATTAATGTTTTTTCATTCTAATAGTTAAGGGTGGGCATGGTTCAAACTAAACTTTTCTTTTTTGAACCGATTTAAATCAATTAATTTTACAATTAAATTGTTTTAATTTATATAAGTTAATTTTCTTTTTCCCAAATAGTTCAGAAAGTATGCAAATTGGATCAGGGTGAAAGAGATGCCGCTCTTAAAAGATGAGTTGTTTTTGTTGTTGCTGCGATAGGAGGAAACTTCTTCACTCTTATTTTATCGGTTGATGGATTTTGTTGTTCCCTCTCAATTGCCTAATAAGAATAAACTTGTCATATTTGTGTCACGTCAATTAAGGGAAAATGGATCAGGTCATGCTAGATTTTGGTCTAAATAAGATTAACCTAGTCAATTAGCATGATGTAGACTAATATAAACATGCTCTGACTTATATATAAAGTAAAAAATCTGACATAAGTCTGACGATGTGCTCCACTAGAAATCTCTAATTGTAAGCTGGTGTTTCGATAACCAAATAAGGTATACTTCTATGAACTCTGACAATGAGGCCTATATTTGATGGATATGATAGAAATGTATATGACAAGAGGATTAGATGAGAGTAGAATAAGATATGAGATTTGTTCTGTTTTTGAGACAAAGATATCTAGTCAGATACTAGTGAGTTTATTTTGGATCTAAGAGCTCTCTCTTAGATATATGTCGAGATAAAATGTCGAGGTATAATGACGTAGCCAAAAGGCATATGTGTGCACAGTGACAACTTAACCACAGTGATTTTATTGGTTGTGTTAATGTCAATTGCCATACCCGGTACCGCCCTAACACAAATGCTAGCAGTGGTCAATCGCAAACATAAAAAGAAAAATAATGATATTCAGTATAATAATTCTGCATTGGGTTTAGTGAGTGCCCTGCTAAAGAATACAAATTATGTTATTTTTGTTATAAAATTAATAAGAAAAAATGGGAGGAAGTACGAGAAAGAAAAGAGACACGGAAGTAGGGTAGAATCTAATCCTTATTCATAATTGTATTTACATATAAGTCATATCCTTATATAGGATATACATGAACAAGGAAGTAAGTACAATTCAATACATCATTATGTGGTGGTTACGTAATCATAAATTGGGGGATAAATACCAACGATTTCAGATTTGAAATTACCGTTTCAGAATACAAAAAATGTCATCCATCAATATTTTGTAACACTTCCTCTTGGATGACGATTTAATATGAATGTAAAAATGTGAAGGTGAAATGGGAGAAGATGTAAGGTTAGAAAGTTGAACATCCACTTATTTTATATTTTTATAGCACTCCCTTGGATGTTCACCCTTTATTATACGCTAATAAGATTGCCTCATTAAAAAAACTTCTAGGAAAAACTCGGTGGGTAAAAAACTTGGTGAAGGGGAAAAGAGTGCAATTCTTATAACTCACCCTCTGAATATTTATTGTAGTTTTCATATGAGTAAATGTCATCATAATATCTCCCCTTTAACTGAGCTATATAATTAATTTTCTTTATAATGCTATATATTATGCCCTAATAAGTAATAACATTTCAAGATGAGTAAATTATTTTTCATGGGGTGAAATGGATAATTTATTTATGTCAAGCGATCTCATAACCATTGGGGTATTCTATGAAATTGTTTTATCCATGTACAATCTCTTTAAATTATAAATCAACTGATAAATATTTTATCAAGGCGATTATACCACATATGCCTTTATTTCTTTAATCCATTTAATGATAGTTGAAGCTTTATTCAACAAATTTTTCGGAAATTCTTATATGCTTCAAGAGTTTTAAATCCTTCTATGATTTTCATATAAATTTCATTATCGATCAAATAAGTCATATAAATAGGCTATAATAACATCTATTAGACGCATGCCAATTTTTCATATACTGCCTGATTAATAAGATATCTGAAGGTGATTGCATCTATTTCAATAGAATATATTTTCATATAATAAATGTCAGACTTTTGTGAAAATCATTGTTCTTCAAGACGTGTTTTTATATCTTACGACTTCATTTTCTCATTATAATTTTTGCACATTTGTACCTTTTTACACCTTTATATGTTTGGATTATAGATCCAAAAACTTTGAATTTGAATTGCGTCTTTATATTTTTGGCCAATCATTATCAACAAATTTATCTTTAAGATCCTCGTTTAATTTCATCATTTCATTTTATGCAAAAATATAGTTGACAACTATATCTTTACGGTTCCAACTTTTTCCTGTAATGACCTCGAGTTTTGATGAAAGTTATGTCTTTAGGATTAAGAATTGTCTCGATATTATGACCATCTTAATCATTTGTTCCTTTCCTCCCATTTTGAGGATTTTTATCCTTGGAACCGATTATTTTTCTATGTACAATATGAATTGGAGCATTTACAGTTGGAATATTAGACTTATTGGTCAGTTAATTCATTAGGCAGTCCATAGATAATATCATTTTCTCATATTTGTTTTAAGCGAGGATCTATATGAGATAATGATAATGCATTTTAACTAATATATTTTTCCAACTGTTTATTCTCTCCTATGAAGCACCGACACTTCAAAAACTCTAACGTGTCGTGTTCGACACTCCCCGACACTCCGACACTCCCCGACACTCCAACACGCGTTATTGAAATTCAAAAAACGGTTCAAAGGTTAAATTGCGTTGAGTTTTTAGTTCCAACTGTTAGATTCGTTAGATTATGATTACCATTTTATTGAGTTTAATATAAATATTTGGAATATCTTATGTTTCTTTGCAAAATTTATGAATATTATAAGTTTAGATATATTTTTTTGTTAAATTATTGAATATTAAAGATAATATATACTACATAAATTAAATATATTATTTAATATCAAAACGTGTCCTAACGTGTCGAAATTTAACATTTTTTAGAATTAACGTGTCGGAGTGTCGTGTCGTATCGTGTCACGTGTCAGTGTCGGTGCTACTTAGATTCTCTCCCCCTCATCTTGGAAAGATTGATAACAGTAATCCATTATTAAATTAACTAAATCTCCAATCATTATTTCAACATATTAAGGCATTAAAGTCATATAGGCAATTGATAAAATAATTCGGATTTTGATACTTCAAGAGCAATAACCAACAAATATATTTAGCCTCATCAGTGGAATTAATTTCAATGGCATGAGATTCATAACACTTGTCCTTATTTTAATTTGCCATATTCATTTTATTAGCCACATTCGTTTAACTTCTTTCCTTTTCATGATTTGACCCAATGTTGGATTTTCTATGATCCCTTCAAGGGTTATATCATTACTTGTGCTCATAGCCCTGAATAGCTAGAGTCTTTCACAGATTTTGCATTTGCTTCAGGCAATACTTTTGAACAACAGGTCTAAAATATATTTATTTTCACTCATTCAGATATGGAAAAATAATATAATAAATATGAATATTCATAATGATTCAGAACAAAGATAATTCATATTATAAATTAAGCATTAAAGACATTCAACGTCTAATCAATGTCATGCTATAAACAATCATACTAATTCATTACATGTATTTTCTTTATTAAAATAAATGGGGTCAATTCAAAATATTCATGCCAAATCACAAATTTGTGTATTAAATAGCATTTAACCATACATGAAACAATTGTAATAGTTATTTAATTAACAATTCAATTTCAAATAAAAGACAAACTAATAGTATCAAGAATCAAAATGCAATAAAAATAAAAATTATGACATTAATTTTGATTCCCAAAAGAGTGCATTCAATTACATACCATCAATATTTGCATTCAGTTAAAAGAATATTATTGAATAAACGAAAATAAAATATTGAAACGGTTAAACTTTCATTCATTAGCAAGCATAAATGGTTGCAATATGTATGACGTCTCTCTTCATGAACACCTAGAGGAAGGGTGAATAGGTGTTCTAAACTTTTTTAAAAACTTTTTGAATTCAGTAAACAATTACACAATTTTTCTTCAGTCCCTATA